ACATAAGTAGACCCTGTAAAGAAGTAATAATCAAATGAAGCAGAGCAACATTCTTGAATAGCTTCTCTTCCAGTTAGATATTCACAACGCAAATACTCTGATGGAATGTATTTATCACATAATTCTGCAATGAGTTTAGAAGTTGCCATAGAGTATTTACTCATTTTTAAAAATACTGTATTTCCACATGCAAGTGCTCCAGCACATGGAATTAGTGATAAATTAGCGGGGAAATTCCATGGAGAAATAACACATACACAGCCATAAGGTTCACGTTCAACAAATGACTTTCCAAAGAGTTGGGCACAAACAGTTGGAACTTGTTTTCTTTTAAGATATTTGTTTAAATTCTTCCTTAAGAAATTAATTTCATGAATAACAGAATTTACTTCAGCAACACACATACCAACATCCCTATGAAGGTCTTCTCTGATAGCATTACTTATCGCTTGTTTATTATCAAGTACCATTCTATATAAACAATACAATACTTCCTTCCTAGCATCCAAATGTCTTAATGCATTAGTAGAATACGACTCTTTAAGTGTTTTACAAATAGTTTGAATGTCTTGGTATTTCGTTGGTTCTAAGGGTTGTTGGTTTTTAATTTGTTCTAATCTTTGATTAAATAATTTCTTTTCTTTAGAGTCACCAATAATATACTTTAAGGCATGAGAAATAAGGAGCAAAACACTCAAAATACATACTCCAATGAATAAAATATTAAAAAGAACATCTGACAATGAAAGCACATAAGCCTCCATGAATCTTAGTCTGAATACTACAGTTCATAGAATCTTCCTTTTATTTGAAGTATTATGGTTTGTTCAAGCAAATTGTTCTTCCTCAAAACTACATTTTATCTCCTTATTTATCAAAAAAGTGAACAATCTCAGACAACTTTTCGTTTAGGTAATCAAGAATATAGTAGATTAATAGTTTAAAATACTAAAAAAAACAATATAAAAATAATGTTCAAAGTTTTTTAAAATGCCTATTTAGGGTAAAATTACTTTGAAATATTTTTCTTATTGAAAGTGATAAGTTTGGTTGTTTCAAAATTTTTAATAATTACAAAGTAACAAATAGTTTCTCATCCAAACCACAAATAGAAGTGTCTTAATTAAACGAATATTCTTCCTCAAAAACAAAAGTTATATTTTTTTGTTGTTATTTTGAAAAAATACTATTTGTATCAAAAGAAGTCTCATATCCTAAACAAAAAACTTTAATGAATTAAAATATTTATTTTCACATTTTTATTCGAGTTAAGTGTCTTTGTTTTTTTTTTAATTCTAACATTAATATTATCCCTTTTCAAGATAGAGTAATACACTTTAAAAGAGAGTCATAAAATTATTATAATTTCATTATTTAATTAAACCTAAACAGTTATTGTTTTCAATGTATTTCAACATAGTATTTGAAATAACATTGGTTTATTGTTAAAAGGTACATTCATACTTTAGTTTTATTCACTTTTCTTATACAACTATAAAAATGAAGTATTTTTAATTATTGTTTTGTTTATTAAGATAAAATAGCTTGGAAGAGGATATTAGACTTTAATTTTTTTGTGTATTGTCAACATTATCTAAAATTGTTTATTTTCATTTCTTAAGTATCAACATCCTTCTTTTTCTTTAATCTAAGTTAAACTCATTTTTTCTTTTAAATTAAAAATTTTTTGAGTTTAAAAAGAATAAATTGTTTATTACTTAAACGACACAAAAATTCATTGAAAGAGGTGGTTGATAGAATAAAGCCAATGAATTAGAGTTTATAACATAACTAATAATGTTTGTAAGATAAATTTAAATTTTGAGAAGTAAAATATTATTATTTTCATTATTATGTGAAAAATAAAAATTGAGTTATTTAATTTTTGGATTGGAATATTTCTTTAAGTTAATATTCTATCAATGAACAAGTGTTTATCAAATTGTTTGATTAACTTTATGTTTTAATCATAAAACCTATAATTATTTTATTTATATCAATATTAAAGAAATAATATTTTGACATAAATTCTTCATTAATATCTTACAATTGAAATATTTAATATTTTTAGTCAATATAGAGTTATGTCTATATCATAAATTCCCTTTTCATTTGAAATAATTTTATCTACTTTAATTGATTTAATAAGATCTATTTTATTATAATTTTCTTTAATGAAACGTTTTTCATAAATACATAATAATTTAAATCATAATATAATGTTATGACTTACACTTGATGTTTCATTTTAGTTGATTTATTTTTTATACTACATATATTTACTATAATCTACATTCTTTTATGTTAAAATTAAATGAGTGATTTATTATTATTTTTATCTAATATCTTCACGAAAAAAAAGAAATAAATTAAACTGTTTTAATAAAAAGGACATACTTCTAAGTTTAAGATTTTATAAACCTTATATTTTAGAAGAATCAAATCAAAATAATCTTATACTTTTGTAGGTTTTTGAATTACAAACTATTTAATTATTTTTATTGTTATAGAATATTTTCTAGCAGAAGTTTATTCAATTAATAATTAAACAAAGAATTTCAAAAGTCTAAGTCACAAGAATTATATAAACAATTGAATTATTATCAGAATATTTGAAAATAATTAGTAGTACTATTTATAACTTATAGTATTATTCTAAGAAAGAATTAAAAATAGAATTGAGTGAGAATTGAAAAAAAAAATTATTAACACATAAAAAAAACACCAACAAGATTGAAATTATCAAATGACAAATATGATAAAGATGACAATAACTTATTTGCAATAAGTAAAATCATTGAAATAGTCTTTAGAATCAACAACTTCTCCTTCATCAATTTTAGCTGTTTCATTAATAATATCTTCATTAAAATTAGAAGTATCAGTTTTATCTTTTAAAACAGGAACAAAAGGAGGAGTTAATTTCTTTTTGAATAATCCTTCCCAGTCAAATCCTTTAAACCAACAATGTGATTTAATACGATTTGGGTCTGTTAAACGTTTTTCTGGATCTTTAACTAATAACTCTTGAATACAACGTTTACAATCAGCAGTAGGATAAGAAACATTTGGAAAGATGACAGGGTCATGAATAATCTTTTGGAATAATTGTTGAATATCTTCTGAAGTAAATGGAGCATGTCCATGAATCATTTCATAAATTAAAATACCAAATCCCCACCAATCTACAGGTTCTGAATAATCTTTACCAACAACAACTTCTGGAGCGAGATATTCTGGTGTACCACAAAAAGTACTTGTAGTATTTTCTTTTGTAACATTTTCTTTAGAAAGTCCAAAATCAGTTAAACGAAGATAACCATCAGCACCAATTAAAATATTTTCTGGTTTAATATCACGATAAACAATATTTGATGAATGAAGATGTTCTATTGCAAGTAAAATTTGAGCTGAATAAAATTTAGCATCTTCTTCACTTACTTTTCCATTCTTTTGTAAATAATAATAAAATTCACCTCCAGGACAATAATCAATAATATAAAATAAATGAGTTGGTGTTTGGAATGAATAATATAAATTTACTAAGAAAGGATGATGTAATTTAGAGAGGATACGTCTTTCAGACATAGTATGTTCAATTTCTTCATATTCAATAATTTGTTTTTTTTCAATAGTTTTCATTGCAAATATTTCATGAGTAGAAATCATTTCAACTAAAAATACTTTTCCATAAGCTCCTTTACCTAATAAACACTTAACATCAAAATCTTTTTGTGTTACTGTTTCTGTAGTAATTTTAGACTTATAAATATTTGATTGTTGTGAATGACAAATAATAGATGTTAACCATAATAATCTATCTTCTTCATTTGCTGCACTTAAATGAAATGTTCTTGATGGTGTACAAATACGAATTATATTTTCATATTTCTTATGATAATTATCAACTGCTGTAATATGTGTAGCAAGAGATAAATTTATTATACCCATTAATGTCTTTTTATCTTGTTCTTTATAATAATATAATGAATCATTATTTAATTCAAAATATCTTTTTTTCCAAGACTTCCAACTTCCACCTTCTTTCATAAGCCATCCTTGTGTTTTTTCTTCCATTTCAAAGTAATTGATCTTTAAGATCTCTTTTTTTACCAATCTTTTGTTTCCTTTTTTTTTTAAAAACGAAAACCAAAAATTTATTGAATTATTGACTTTTTACTGGTTTTTTTATATCTTTTTTCTTTTACTTATTTTCCATTGAAACCCAATTAATTTCTTTCATTGTTATGAAAGAATTATCATAATTACAAAGTAATAAATGTTTTTTTACATTATGTAATAATCTACATAATCCAATTAATTCATTATTTATTAAAGATTGATGAATATTCATTAAAATCACTCCATAAGATGAATGACAATATTGTGGATGGTTTTTATAAACAACAAAGTCACATCCATATTTAAATCCATCTTTAATAAATAAACCTTTCTTTTTTAATTCACAATATAATTGATATTTCATTTTTTCTTTTTCATTTAATACAATAGTTCGATAGTCTTCTTTATTAATTTCATTCAATTCATTAAGATAGACATATTCAATCTTAGTAATAATACTTATTGGTTCATCTTTGTCTATCCCTTTTTGTTTAAATAAAGACTTTCCAATACCATATTTTTGATATATATAAATTGGATTGTGGATAGTAATAAATTCATCACCATCACTCATATTTTATTTCTGATTGGAAGAACTTTCCAATCAAATCTATTTTTCAATACCAATCTGAAAATTTCAGAAAATATTTAGTTCTATTCTTCAAAGTTGTTGGTTATTTAAGTTTTTATAAAAAAGAAGAAAGTAAACACATAAAAGGAATATATATCAAAGAAATAATTTAAATAAGAATAAACAAAATTAGAATCAAATAGTTCGAGAATGTCATAGAATAAGATTCTACTAAGCACTTTATCTTCTACACCATTCCAGTTGATATAAAACCAAGAGAAACTAAAAAGTAAAATGAAATAACAACATGGACGCTAAATCACTCTTTAAATATGAACATTCTATGGAAATGTATAACCAACTTTGTAATATTTGTAAAGATGAAGGTTCTAAAGTATATTGGAAATGGTTCCTTGCATTAGATGAAATTCCAAGAAGATCAGGAGCAAGAGAAGCACCATCTAATTGGTTAATTGAAATTGCAAAGAAATCAGGATTAGAATATAAAGTAGATAAAGAAAAGAATATTTGTATTTATGTTCCAGCATCTAAAGGATTTGAAGATAAACCATCAGTTTGTATTCAAGGACATTATGATATGGTAGGAACTGTTGCAGCAGGAGTTCAACATGATTTCACTAAAGATCCAATTAAAATGAAACTTGAAGATGGTATTTTATCAGCACAAGGAACTACTCTTGGAGGAGATGATGGAACTGGAGTTGCATGTGGACTTGCATATATGGAACTTAGAGATAAATTCCAACATCCAGCATTAGAACTTCTTTTTACAGCAGATGAAGAAATTGGATGTCTTGGAGCTGCAGGACTTGTTCCAGGGGAATTATTAACAGAAAAATGTAAATATCTTATTAATGTTGATTCAGAAGATTGGGGAGAAGTTACAATTTCATCAGCAGGAACAGCATTTAGAGTTGGAAAAGTTCCAGTTAAATTTGAAAATGCTAAAAGTGGATTAACATCAATTAATATTGTTGTTGAAAAGTTTAATGGAGGACATAGTGGAGTTGATATTCAACATCAAAGAGCTAATGCACTTAAATGGGTTGTTGATCTTATTATTCATAGTCCTTCTCTTTTAAGAGTTAATAAACATCAATATCATATTGTTAAATTTGAAGCAGGACATGCTCATAATGCTATTCCATCTCATGCTAATGTTACTATTGCAGTTCCAAATGATATTGCAGAAGCTGTTATGAAAGAAATTAAAGCTAATCATGAAGCACTTACTGTTCTTTATAGTGGAACTAGTGATGTTAAACCAGAAATTAATGTTTCATCAACACCACTTGCTGAAGGAACACAAATTGTTTCATATACTTCAACATGTAATTGTCTCCAATTAGTTGAAAAACTTCCACATGGAGTTCTTAGATTCTCAGAAGATGTAGAAGGATTAGTTGAAACATCACAATCAGTTTCTATTGGTAAACTTGAAGGAAATACATTCAATATTACTATTTTTGCACGTTCAAGTAAAGATGAAGATATGCTTACTCTTGTTGAAGCTGATTATAAAATGTTTAAATGTCATGGAGCTACATTTGAAAAAGCTGTTGATGATGCATGTGGATGGCCAGCTGAACCAAATAATCATTTACTTAAGACTCTTAAAGAATGTTATAAAGAAATGTACAAATCAGAAATTAAAACAGTTGCAATTCATGCTGGTCTTGAAAATTCTATTATTATGGAAAAATATAAGAATTTGAACCTTCATTCTATTTCTCTTGGTCCATCAGTTCATGATGTTCATACTCCAAAAGAACATGTTCATGTTGAAACTGCAACTCAACTTTATGCACTTCTTATTTCTGTTATGGAGAAACTTTAAACAACAAAAATCAATTTAATTGATTTTATTCATTTCTATATTTCTTCTTATTCTTTTTGTTTTAATCTTTTCTACTTTTTTTTAATAGAATTTTGTGCACTATAATGATATGGAATTAAACCACTTCCTTTAACTGTTTTTTCAAAATCTTCATCTTTTGTTCCTGATAATTCTTTCCATTTCCCCACAATTTCTCTATCTAAATTTGGTAAGTCATTTAATAATCGTTTCTTGGGATCACTAAAAAAATATATTTCTTTTGATCTTCCTCCTTCTTCTACAACAACTATATCATATTTTTCTGGATGTTCAACCATTGATGCTAAGTCTTTTTCTACATCTGGATATGCATCATCTAATAAAGACCTTGCTACTGATTTGAATTTAGAATCATGTATAATCTTAATTAACCCTTCTAAGTTTGTTGCATTGATTTTTGGTTTATATTTAAACGTTTTTCTGACTGGATTATATTCCACTGAACTTGACATTGTTGAAAGTCTTTGAAATAATTCTGTACCTTCAGAAACATCATATCCCAATTCATTTAATATTTGTTTTATATCATACTCTTTTCTATTCTTCTTTAAATGCTCAACAATTGCACTTTGTTGTGTTCTAACATCCATTCCATAGTTCATTTTGTTTATTTTTTTTTAGTTCTTGTTATTGTTAAATTTTAATGATAATAGCATTAGGAATTTGTTCTAACACTGAAAGTAGATGCTTGATATTTTCATATAAGATAAAACATATTTTATAATAATTACAATAATAAATAACACATCAAAAAATACAAATTTTCTATTTATATTTCCTAATTTCTTTCTTCTGTACTGTCTTAAATCATTTCAATCTTTCATGTAAAAGATTTTCATATATCCTTATTATTATTATTTAATAGAAAAAAATTTTCAATTCTATTGTATAACATCATAATAATTAAACTTTCTGTATATTCATTAATCTCTTTATTTGAAAAATAGATTAATTAGAGTTATAACACATATAATATTTAAACAATTATTAGAGGTATTTTCAATAGTTTTGATCAAACCAATGAATATTAATTGAATATCTCCTTCTTAGTTTTAAAATAAAACATCTTAGGAAGATTAGTCTGTTAACCAAGACTATTTAAAAACCGTAAAAAATAATAACCAATAACTATTCTAATGAAATAGAAAAAAAAACACAACAATGTTATTGTAAAACATTAGAACACAACCTCATAATAATAAAATATATAATTTTAAATGATCAACTATTCTAACTCTATTCATTACAAAAGAAAAGTTATTTTAAAATTATCTCTAATAATTCCTATCTACTTCCAAAAAAAAAGAATAACACTAAAATAGTTAAGTTAAAAAATAAAATAACCAAACAATATAAAAGGAATATACTCATGTGTTAATTTCACATGATTCAATCTTTCATTCAATAAAATAAATAATAAGAAAGAGTTAATTTTAATTTTCAAACTTCTAAACAAAAAAAAAGAAAAAAGAGTGTGTTATTTGATTTTAAGATTTTAAAAAAAAATTAACTTGAAATTAGAAATGAAATTCAGTGTTATTGTTGTCTTATTTGTTATAACCTGTTATTCATATCAATATATTTGTGTTGAAACAATAGAAAAAAAAGATGATCCTGATATTGCAGCTATCGAAATAACAACTGTTGATAGATGTATTACTCAACATGGTAAAATAGTAGTAAGAAATTTAAAAGGAGCAATTACTGAAATTAAAGTAGGAGACGGTTTGTTTTAAATATCAAAATAAAAGGAATAGAAATAACATCGTATATAGTTGTTTATCCAGTCTCATCTACTTCTAATTATCAAGAGATAGGAGTGTTAGATGGATATTTTCCAGTTCGAGTAATTAAGAGAACAGTTGAAAATATATGTTATTACAGACAATTTGAAGTAACAATACATTCAAAAAATGGTTTGTTTTATGTATATTTTTTGTATTAAACAATAAAAGAAAATGTTTATATGATAGAATGTGATCCGTATTATGTCTATCTTGTGAAAACAAAAGAAATGGTATTTGAGGATGATATTAGTAATAGTACTGAATCATAAACATAAATTAAGTAGTTTTTATTAAATGTTTTAATTACTTTTATTCTAATGCATCATGGAACCACCAAGAAAACAAGACTACACCAATTATTACTAAACAACACACTTCAAATGCAAAGATATTTAAACACAATTTATAACGATTATGTATTACTGGGTCTTCACTCTTACTGTATATTCTTTGAATATAAAAAAAGAATGGAGGACATAATGCGGAAATAACTACATAAATAAGCATTCTTTTACGAACTTCATCATTAACAACATAATCATACCCATCTTCAATATTAGGTTCAAATTGTAATACTCCAGCAAATTGTTCTTTTGTAATACCAACAAGAATAGGAGGTGTTTCAGCCATGCAAAAAGAATTTACAATTATTAAATAAAAGTAGAGGAGTATAACTTTTTCAAAAAGATACACAAAATTGAACTTTATTTTTTTTTTCTTTTTATTATTTTATTTGAAAGAATATTATAAATGAACTTAATAATATTAATCAATTCCTTTAAGAATTAAAATTCTTACTTCTATGAACTATATAAATCTCTTTTGGTAATATTTCAATATAATCTCTTTTCTTCTTTTTCACTTTACAACAATAATAAATTAATTGAACAAAAAGTGAAATGAATTATAGTGAAAATGGTGTTCTAAAATTTTTTATATCCATTGAATGATTTCTTACAATTGATAATAAACGTTGATGATCAATTGTAATAGAATTATTTAAACATATTTTTTCAATTGCTTTAACACATTCTGATTTAATAACATCTTCATTAATTCCATCAAAAAATAAATTGTGTTGTTCAAAGCTACCTTTAGGAATGTTAGTTTCAATACAATATGATTCAAGAAATTTAGCACATTCTTGTGCAGTTTCTTCACAGTTCATACCTCTTGAAATAATTTCTGCTAATCGTTTATCAATAAAAGTATATTTAAATTTACATAATTGTAATAAGGCTTTTGTTGATACTCCATCACTTCCACCTTCTGCAATAGACATTAACGTTTCAACAACTTCATTTGGTTCAAAATCATTGAATGCATGAACAACAGATATTACAAAATTATTTTTTTGAAGACTAGTTCCTATTTTAATAAGTTCTCCAATCCATCCTTTAATTCCAGTACAATTTTTTGTTAATTCATAGACAAGATGTTGTGTCTCTTTTCTTCCTGCAGCATGAGCTAATATATTAGCTTTAATAGAATTAACAGGAACAATTTGAGCCGCTTTTTCAAAGATACCAATAACTGGAACAGAAATTAGTATTTCTGCAATAGATGGATCATTTAATTGAATTGATGCTTCAATTACTTTTTGAAGCACTTGCACTTCTCCAAATAATAATCCTCGTGCACTAATCATTGACAACATATCTAATGAAAATGATGGATTATCTTGAAGAAGAATAAATATGTCTAATGCATTTACTGCTACTTCTGTTTGGAAAACTGTACAACAACTTAAAATTATCTGTTCAAATTGTTCAAGAACACCAAAGTTATGTAATTGATTCTTTATTCCTTTAATACTTTCTGGTGTAAACATTTTATCATATGATAAAGATGGAGAAACAATACTTATTATTCTTCTTGCACATGCCTCTAATTCTCCATGAACTGTTGTTGGAGCATAAAAAAGTAAAGATAACGCACATAAATGAGGAATATATTGTATTGTAGTAATTGGTATTAATGAAATAATAAAAGAGAGTAATATGAAATAAACATTTTCTTTTTTAGAAGGGAATGTTGGAGTTATTTCAATTAAGTCACAAGGGAGTTTAGGTTGAATTGGTAGTTCCATAATATTATTATATAAATTCATAAATATTGGTAAACATAATGACTCTATTCCACATAAATTACACATAATTTTACCAATTAAACCAATACTTTCTTCAGTATTTTCTGCTTTTGTTAATAATATTTCTAATATTATATCTATTTTATCTTCACATTGTTGTATAACACATTGCCACATTTCACAAACTTCATAATCCAATTGTTGTGCTGCTGATGTCATATCAATCATAATATTAATTGTTCCTTCAAGGTCATACTGAACAGCTACTTTCATCCATTCACAACACACATGAATCAATACTCCATACTCACTATTATTTAACAAATTATGATATTGAAGAACCCCTTTTAGTATTGATGGACTTTCAGAACAATATACTTTGGCTAATTCTCTCATTATTGCACAGTTCCATGATCCACCTACAGCACATCCACAATAAGTAGAAATATTAAATTCTTGTACTCCTTTCATTAATGTTGCAAAATCATTTGAATTTTTTGATATTAAAATAATGCCATAACTTAATATTTCTTCCATATGAATAGAATATCCAGTACTAAGCATTTTATACACTGCATGATAATACATCATTCTTACATCCCTTGTCAAAAAAGAACGTTGCATTGAAATAGATAACATATTTGGATATCTTGTTAATATATTTACTAAGTATGTTTCAGAAGCAATAGGATCTGACGAATAGAGTACTTCAAGAAGATTAAACAAATCAATTGGAGTAGATATTCTTGCTTTTAATGTAATTGCTTTAACGATTGGAATAATATATTTGTGTAATGACATTTGATTAATGTATTTTGAGATAAATGTTACTAACGAATCTTCTATTGATGGAGAAGGTAATGTAATTTCTAACATACATATCTTTGATATTATTTCAAATAAAATAATATTTGAAGTTGGAAGATCTTTAAACTGAGTCCAATGCATTAATGTTGTTCTACATAATGAAATAAGGTTTTGACAACGAACATATTTAATTGGTTCGATAGATACTAATGTATTTAATAATTCAAGATTAAATTTCTTCTTTTTAGAATCAATCATTGAAGAAGCAAAAAGATCTATAATAGATGGCTCTGATAATTTAAGTAATGAATGTACCATTGAACAAATATGTTCTACACCATCATTGTATTGTGAAATAATTGAATGAATTATATGTATATTTTCTGTTTTCATTGATGCAAAAATAAATCTAATTAATTCTGGTTGCATTTTAGATGAATAATTATTAGAGAATCTATTATATAATTCTTTAACAAACAACAATTCTTTTTGTTCAGTTACAAATTTATCTATATTTTCTATAGAAACTGATGATAAATATTGAGCAATAATATTTGAATTTTCAATAATTCTATATCCTTTTAACTTTAGTGCATCAACTAATCGTGAAGCTATTTCAATAGACTTTCCATCTAATGTAATAATAAGTGCTAATATTCTTCTTTGTAACATATTAACTAATCCTTTACTAGCAACATCACTAGTTTGTCCAAATACTTCAGCAAGTTGACATACATACTCTCCTTCATTCCAATTACTTTCTTCCTCAATTCCATTACCAAGAAATTCTTCAAATATCCCACAAAATAATCTTGGATTTCTTTTTGCATCTCTGAGCAATGCTTTTCTTGCTTCTTGTTTAATTTCAAGTATTGGACTTCTCGCTGCACTAACTATTTTATGTGAAGTTGTATCTCTTGCAGTAGAGTCATGAATAAATGATTCTGGATACATTTCTAATGCCCATATATTAAATGGATCCATTACAGTTCCAATTAATGATGATATATTTGATAAAAACTCTGTTACCCCTTGTTGAACTTCTGAAGGTAAGGTAATAGATTGTGGGAGATGTTGAATAACAGTGGCACGAATATCTATCGTTGTAACAAAAATACCAGAAAGTATGTTCATTGTCATTTGATGTAAATAAACAACAGGATGTGAAAATACTTTAGAAAACATAGAAATTTCACTGTTTGAAGCATATTTTAAACGATGATATTCTTTTTTTGGCAGGATAGTTTTTGTAAGAAACTCATCTACTAATGATGAAATTAAAGAATGATTCTTTGGTAATACATCTAAACTACCACTAACATAATCACTTATCATTTCTAAAGCTTTTAATCTTTTTTGCTGATCTTTTGCACTAGACAAAAGAGTATAATTTGATACTAAAATTGGTTTGATAGAAATAGCAAATAATCCATCACTTTGAGCACCAAGATGTGCACAAGTTTCATTAATTGGTACTTTTGAATTTTTCCATTTTCGTAATAAGTCAATAATTCTTCCATATCGTTCTTCCAATTGTGTTACACCAATTCCACTTCCTCTTCCTAACCCATTAATACACACTCCATCAAGTAATTCACATAATGACCGTTTTAATACACTCCTTTGTGCTGAATTTAATGCATTTTCTACGTTACTTATAAACCTAACTGATTCACTCACGTTAATACCATTAACCGGAAGAATTATTTGTTTAAAACAAATAACCATTACTGCTGCCTCTCTAGCTGTTTCATCATTTTTAATAGTTTGAATAATATGTAAAAATGAATCTACAACATCTTTCAAAAAATATTTACTAAGTTCTTTCATTAATATAGAAGTATTATTCCGTATTTCTACACTAAATTTACTAGATGAAAAAGTAGAAGCAATAGAAACACTTCTACGATCTGAAATTCGTACGATATTAGTTAATAATTTAATACATTGTATATTAACTTGTTCATTGTCAAAAGGAATTTTATTATTAAGAGTTTGCATAAGAAATTCATAATGAGATTTATCATCCATTGAAGTAGACAATAATTCGATTGTTGACTGTATTAATGGAGAATGTTCATAACATTGTTCTGAAAACCTAACAATTAAATTTTGTATATATTGATTGTGATCTACAACCAATAATTGTTCACCTCTTAAATCAATTTTCTGTGATATTCGAGGGGTTTTTGAATTTGGACTAATAATACGAGGAGAAAGTAAATTATTCTGTTTATTAGTTTCTTTTGTAGGAGAAGATGGAATTATTCGTTTAGATAATTCATTTGACTGTGTTATTGGTAATGACGTTTGTCTCTTAACAAATTTATTTGGTGGAATTTTTTGTGTATCTGTTTCAATTTGAGATGTATTAATATTATTAACTCTATTAGACTGTACTGAAGAATTTGAATCAGTTTGTTTAATGTTAGAATATAAATGAAGAGATTGTCCTGATGAATTACTTACAGATGGATTTAAAATATCAATCTCAAATTCTTCTTCTTCTGGAGGCATAGTGGTGTTCTGTTCATCTTCTTCATCTCCAACTTCATATTCTTTTGGTTCAAATTCATCATCTCCTAATAATTCAACTGTAATATCTTTAAGGCTCTGTGTTTGAGATGGAATAATAGTGGTATTTTTATTTTGATAACGTTTAGGTGAATAAGAATTTTCAAATGGATTAATTGACTTTTTTGGAGAGAGGGATTGTTGTTGAGCAGACGGTTCATCAAATGGATTTGTTGTTGGTATTGATTTTGAAGATGGTTCGTCAAATGGATTTGTTGACGATATTGGGTTTGAAGGTGTTTCATCAAATGGATTTGTTGTTGTGTGGGTTGTTGGTTCATCAAATGGGTTTGTTGGTATTTTTTTGAATTGAAGACTTAATTTAGGTGGTTTTTGTGGTAATGAAGGAACTGCTGGTGTTTGTTTTTGTGGATATCTATTGACTGGAGGTTGTGGCACTGGTTTTTGTGATCGGGGTGAGGGTGTTGTTTCTCCAGACTTTTGTTGTTTCATAGTATGAGCAGCAAAAGGATGAGTGGATTGACGATGAATATAATTAGTGCTAGTATTTAGTGGTTGTGTATTTGCACGATGAGGAGGAGTTGGAGTTGGCTTAGAGGGAGTTTTTGGTTTAGGAGGTGGGGTTGGTTTCATGAGGAGAATAAATGAAATAAGAAAAAATAAAATTAATGGAAAGTTTTTCTTAACCAAGAATGGATTTTTTCTTTTTACTTTTCAAGCTATTAATTATAGTTTATTTTATATATAAAACAGTAAATAGATGAAGAGAAAAAACAAAGTTAACAGTAGAAAGTAAGATCATCAAACATGTCTAACAACTCTTCTACTATATCATCGGGAAATGAATCTACATTAATCTCAAAATCCCATCCATTCACCTTGTTTAGTAAAATGGTATAAATGGCTTGGGTTTGATAACAATTTGCATTGGCTATTAATTGTTTTAATTTTTGACGTTTTTCTCTCATTGGAACTTCAGTGAGGGTATGAGAAAAGTCAAAAGAAAGTGGATCAAGCATAGTATTAATATCTATCTTTCTTAAATGATCCATGCGTTGAATAGATTGAATAAATCCATTATTATAATCATTCATTGAATTAAAATTGACAGCAAGACTAGTATTTATAAATCATATTTTCTCAAATATAAAGTGTATTAAAACAAACTTCATTGAATCAAGAAGATTTAAGAAGAAAGAAACCATTCTTTGTTTCATTGAAGATGAGAGAGTTGGACTTCTATATAAATCAAAAAATAAAGGATATAAGAAAATTAATAATTGGTCAATGTTAGTACAGCCTTGTATTTGTTCCAAATGATGATAGAGAATATCAGTTGTTTCAGGGTTTATTGATAATGATGATTGAACTTTTTGAATTAATCCCTGAATATTTCTAAGGACTTCTTCTTGAGTATGAGAAGAGAAACGTTGTGGGATAATGTTAGTCATACAAGTAAATAAGTAGATAAGAAGATTGTGCGATAAAATCTTTGATTTTTAATCGTTTCTTTTTGAATCAGGTAAAGTAAAAGTGAATTTAAATCTGAAAAGAATATTCTTTGTCTATAAATTTCTCGGGACCATGATTATTTCGTTAAAAAAAAAGTGATTTTAAAGTGAATTTCTTGAATGATTTTTCTTCTGTTTATTCAAAACTTATTTTTGTTTATTTTTTGTGTTTTTTAATTCATTTTCGTTTAATATAAAAAAAAACATAATTTAATAACAATATTATTTTTTAACAAAAAAAAAAAAAAAAAGAAATCAATTATGATTAACCTTATTTTTAGGTTTTTCATCATGTTGAGAAGTGAGCGAATCAGTTTCTTCAACACGCTTTATTTCTATTGAAATAAAGTTTTTGCAAGCATGCTCGACTTAAATGGTTCCTCAATTAAGTTGCTGCCTGACTTTTATTTTGATTTTAATGAGTAATATAATATTTCTCATTCTTTATATTGTTGTTTTAAGGAGAGTATATCCATAACTTACTGTTATAGCTCATCTCCTTTTACCTTCGACACCCCTTAAAGAAACCCTATTCCTTGATAATATCATTATGTTTAATTTTTGTGCAACAATATCAATTATATATGCGTCTTCTTTAATAAATGATAATTCTTAATACATAATACCTCCTTAGTAAATAATAATCCTTATAATTAATAATGAATAACAATACACCTCAATGAATAACAATACACCTCAATGAATAATAATCTTTTATAATAATCACTTCTAATAAATATTAATAATAATAAACAGTTAGTGTTGAATAGATATTATCTCACCAAAGGCACGTCATGACCAGACGATAACTGGGAGATTCGAAGCATGGGATTATTTTAGGGTTTCGTGTGGTGTCTCTGACGTGCCATCTTCGAATCTATAACAATATTATTTTTTAACAATAAAAAGAAAAAATAAAAATTTTCAGCAGAACTTATAATCATAAGAAAAATTTATGTCTTTTATAGAGCAGCCAAATACTATTATTTTTAAAGCCAAAGAGCTGCTTTCTTTTCCTAATGAAGTAATTAATAATAGTAATTTCATTACAACATTAAATCTCAGTTTAAATTATATTACCGTTTGTTATTTTTTATAATAATAAAAATTACTAATATCAACAATCAAGTAATATAATAGGAAATACCAAATGTTAGTTTTGAACGACTAAATGTATTAGCATTATTAGGAAATAAAATTTCATTTATTTCAGAAAAACAAACTAAGTTATTTCCAAAATTACATAAACTCGACGTTTCACAAAATTTACTTTCTGACGTTTCATCACTTATCAATCTCACCTATCTCAGTCATCTTGACTTATCACAAAATTCAATAACTGATATCACTCCTCTTATTCATTTAGAAAATTTAGAATTTCTTTCATTATCAGTTAATCATATTCATTCGCTACCTGATGGATTTACAAAACTTAGAAAATTAAAGACTGTTTGTTTTAATTTTTGTTACTTAAAATACCTTATTTATATCATTTAGTTAGATATAGATCATAATTTCTTTGAAACTATCCCAACAACTATTTGTGAATGTCCTTTACAATCAATAAACTTAAATGGTAATTTTATTAAAAAAATTCCAATTGAATTTACTAAATTGCAGACTTTACACATGTTTTCTATTGCATATAATCAATTAACAGAACTTCCATCATTCTTTTCTTTATTATCAAATCTTAATTCATTAGACATTGATCATAATCCATTAACTTCAATTAGCCTTTTAGCAAGTATGAGTATCTCTGATTTAGTAATGAGTGATGTTTCATTTAATACTCTTTCATTACATGAATTTGTTACATTAACAAGACTAAGAATATTTGGTGGAAGTATTAAACAAGTAAATGAATTACCTCCAATTAAAACATTATATATAGAAAATATTGGTCTTAAAAAAATTGAATCAATTCCAGAATGTAATGAACTTTCATTACAGACAAATGGACTTACTTCTATTCCAGCAGTTAATTCTGCTATAGAAGTATTAAATTTAAAAGATAATTTATTAACACAATTACCTGATATGTATCCTACTCTTCAACGATTGGATGTTACAAAAAATCTTTTATCTGAATTACCACAACTTCATACATCACTTAGATTTCTTTCAATTTCATGTAATAATTTCGATTCTTTTCCAAATAATATAACTCAATTAATTCATCTTCATTATCTGGATTTATCAAACAATAAAGTTATTTCTATTCCATCTTCAATATGTAATTTAGTTGAATTAGAACAATTAAGAATGTCTTTTAATTATATTTGTTCATTACCAAATGAATTATCAATGCTTAGTCATTTAAGGTTATTAAATATTTCTCATAATAGATTATATCAATTACCACCATACCTTCCTTTTTCATTAAGAACATTATTAATAAATTCTAATCATTTAATTTGTTTACCTTCAATAATAAAAAATATTCATTTAATAGAAATTGATATTAGTTGTAATCAACTTGTTAGTATTGATTATTTAACAGCAATTCATTCATTACAAAGTATTAATTGTAGTTATAATGATATTCAAACAATACCAAAAGAAGTATTTGAACATAAAAAACTTGAAAGATTAACTGTTTGTGGAAAAAGATGTTCAGGAATAAATAAATTAAAGAAAAATACTGTTGTTTTAATGACAACAAAAACAAATAATGGATTATATTCTCTACCTGTTAAACGATCTACTATAACAACAATTAAAAGGAATGATAATAAATCTAAATTAATACATCCATGTAATACTATTTGTTCATTTGGTATTTCTGAATGGAAAGGAAATAGAGAAACAATGGAAGATTGTTTATGTGTAATAGAAAATCTTATTGAACATGGAAATCATTTAATTGTATTATGTGATGGTCATGGAGGTTCAGAAACATCATTTTATTGTGTCTCTCGATTTAAAGAAACAATAGAAAAAATATTTATTCAAAAACCAGAAGTAGGAATAAGTAATATTCTCATTCAAACATTTCTTGAACTTAATAAGAATATTAATATTTGTGGAATTAAAGATGGATCAACTTGTCTTTGTATTTTTATTTGTGATAAAAAACTTTATATTGCTAATACTGGAGACTGTAAATGTTTGTTAATAAAACAAGATGGATTTATACAATTAACTGTTGAACATCGTCCTGTTATTAAATCAGAATATAAAAGAATAAGAGAAAATGGAGGTTATGTTATTAATGATAGAACAAACGGCATTCTTGCATTATCAAGAAGTTTAGGAGATACATCTATTCAACCTATTTTAACACCAACGCCAGATATTTTCATTAGAGAACGAGAAGAATCTGATCAATTTCTTATTGTAGCATGTGATGGAGTATGGGATTTCTTAAGGAATGAAGAAGTTTATTCGATAGTAAAAAAGAGAATAAATTCTGAACCTTCAGATATTTCATCTTCAATAAGAGACATGGCATTTGCACGAGGAAGTACTGATAATGTTTCATGTGTAGTTTGTAAATTTTAAAATGTTTTATTATTTTTTATTTATTTTAATTTTTTGTTTTTTAATAATGAATTTTTATTTTATTTTTTTTAATTAATTTAAATAAACAAAATACCATTATAATGCCTAAAAAACCTAAATGGTATGTTGTATTTGAAGGAAGAAAAAGAGGAATTTATACAAGTTGGGATGTATGTTCTTCACTTATTAAAGGATTTTCACAAGCAAAATATAAAAGTTATTTAACACAAAAAGAAGCTGAAGATGTATTTCAAAATTATATCACAATTCATCCAAATCCAATTACTAATGAAGAAATAATAGAAAAACGAATAATAAAAGATAATAATAAGAAAGATACTATACTAGTTAAAGAAGATATAATAATTCCATCATTTAATGAAGTAAAATTACCTAGTCAAATGAAACAATCTAATAACTCTTCTTTTGGAATAAGATTTAGTCAAAATAAAAATGGATTAATTAGAACAGATATAAATGAAGTTGTAATACCAGGAATTCAATCAGTAGAATTATATAAAAAAGGAATTGAATATTTATTTTATAATCATCTTATTGAAGTTGGTTATAAATTAATAATTCCATTATGTTATTTTCAACAAATTCAAGTATCATCTCTTTTAATTCCTCTTCAAACTATTTATGATATGATTATTCAAATTGAATAAAAAAATATTTCTAATTCTTTCTTTTAACTTCTTTCTTCTTTTCTTTCTCTTTCATTAAAAAAGATATCTTTTAACAATAACATCAAACAATTTTTGAATTAAAGCAAAGCACACTTACCACTCTTTTTCTCTTTTATTGGAGGTGGAATTGGTCTACCTTTTGCTTTCAATTGTTTAATTGATTCTTCAATTGCTTCTGGAAGAATTGTATTAAACATAGCATCAATTCCTTCACCATTTTGAACAGAAATTTTAAAGTCTTTCATTGGATTTTTAGTGAGAAAATCTTTAAAGTCATTTTCATTAATTTGACTTTCAAGATCAGTTTTATTTCCACATAAAAATTTTGGAACATTACCTTTATCTGGACCGTATCGTTTTAATTCTCCAACCCAATTTTGAAGAGATAATAATGAATCATTTTTTGTAATATCATAAACAAAAACACAAGCAGAAGCATTTTGATAAACAGCAGAAGTAACAGTAGCCATTTGTTCAGCTCCACAAGTATCAGGTAATACTAGTTTTAATTTACGATTTTGAAAAACTAAGCTCTTATGATTTAGCTCTTTAACTTCTCCACTATATTCGCAATATTTATGAATAAGTGATGTTTTTCCAACTCCTAAATCTCCAATAATTACAATTTTAATTGGTAATTCATCACTTGCTTGTTTATTTCTATTTGCATTTGTGCTCATCTTTCCTTATTTTTAAGTTTGTTTTTGTAGAGTTCTTTTTCTTCTTTTATTATTTAACTTTTTTATTATTATTTTACTATATCTTATTATCAATGCTTTTTCTCATTTTGGTTTCCTATAAATATATGGAGAGGCGATTATTATTTTTAGTTATAAAAACTTCTTTCTCTTTATTTTTTTCTTTGAAAATTCATGTCTGAATGAAACGAATTTTTTTCATTCTTTTTTTCATTTTTTTATTAATAACAATATATCATAATATTATATTTTTAGTTCTTATTATTTTTTGGTTCATAAAACTAATTTGGAGTTAAAAAAAAATAATTTCAAAATCAATCAATTATATATCAAATAAGATGAAAGGACTTTGTTTTTCTGACGAAAATCAACTAGAAATCATTGAAGTTGAAAAGCCACAAATCAATCACGAAACTGATGCGGTTGTCAAAATAACATTTGCATCAATTTGTAGTAGTGACATTCATATTTTAAAAGGAAAAGTACCAAGAGCTAAAAAAGGTGTTATTTTAGGTCATGAAGGAGTTGGAGAAGTTGTTGAAATTGGAAAAGATGTTAAGAAAATTAAAGTTGGTGATCATGTTTCAATCAATTGCATTACTTTTTGTGGCAATTGTTGGTTTTGTCAACATGGATATATTAATAATTGTGAATATGGAGGATGGGAAATTGGATGTAGAGAAAATGGGACAATGGCAGAGTATGTAAGAATTCCATTTGCTGATTCAAGTTTAAATGTTATTCCAAAAGAAGTGAAAGATGAACAATGTTTATTAGTTGGTGATGTTCTTTCAAGTGGATATTTTGGAGTTGAATTAGGAGAAGTGAAAGAAGGGGATATTGTTACTGTCATAGGTTGTGGTCCTGTTGGTTTATGTTCAATGCTTTGTTGTAAAATGAAAAAGGCTAAGGTTATTGCTTTAGATATTAATACTCAATGTTTAGAATATGCACAAAAATTACATTGTTGTGATTGGAGTTTTAACCCACATAATTGTGATATTGTTAATGAGATTCTTAGTATTACTAATAATAGAGGATGTGATTGTACAATAGAAAATGCAGGAACAAATGAATCTTTTGAATTATCATGGAAATTAACTCGACCAAATGGAATTGTTGCTTTAGTAGCTATGTATGAATCAAACCAACCATTTCCATTACCTTTGATGTATGGTAAAAATCTTATTTTTAAAACTGGTGGAGTTGATGCAATTCATTGTGATGAGTTAATTGAGAAAATTAAAAATAAAGAAATTGACACAATGCCATTACTTACTCAACAATTCACTTTTGATCAAATTTTAAGTGCATTCAATTTCTTTCAAAATAAACCAACTCACTGCGTCAAAGTTGTTATTCAATTCTAATTTTATTGTTTTGTTTTAATATCTTTTTTGAAGTTGATTTTTAGTATTAAAAAATACAACAAATAAAACCAGAATGTATTATTTATTATAATAAGTTAATAGTCAAGTTAGTATAATAAAATAATTGAATGTTAATTATTAATTCCATTTTGATATTTAAAATTATGAGAATTAAAAATTCATTTTATAAAAATATCATTATTTTATTATAACCTATAATTATAAATTCATTCTTAATTCATTTTATAATATGTTTATCTTCACTTCATATAGTTAAACTCTCAATTAACTATAACTATTGGGTTAAATACCGTCAGCACAATTATCAATTTTATAACTAACTTGTTTTGTAATTTATATATCTGTTTTTTTTTTCTTTCAACATTGATGTATTGATACGAAAAATTATCAATTTAGAATTAACTATTATATTATTTATTTATCTTTTTAATAAACAGAACAATTATGATATTTTTTTTTAAAATCCTGTGGTATGGTTTATATTAAGTATTTTTTGTGTTGTAATTTCTGTGAATCTCTTTTTAAAACACTATAAAAGAAAAATAAAAGAATATTTTTTAATAAATTGATTAATAAAAAGTCATCAGACTTTAATAAATACTCAAAATAATGAATATATAGATAATGATATTTATTTAAAAGTATAGACATCAATAAATATTAAATTGAATGTGTATATTCACATATTAAAGTACAATAAAAAATACATTAATAACAAAATCAAGAAATAACATAATGCATAATGAAAATACAATTAATGAAAAAAGTTATACAAATAGTACAACATATATACCACACTTATTATTATTTTGAAGAATGAGAAAAAAGAGATAAAATGATAGACAAAATTATATCAATAAAGAAAACATCAAAACATAATATTCAAAGGAATAAGACACAACAACGGATAAGAAAGAGTTAAAAGAAGAAAAAGACTAATAAGAGAATAAAAAGTAATATAAAGAGAAGCACGAATGGCCGAGTGGTCTAAGGCGTCCGCTTTAGGCGCGGATATCGAAAGATGCGTGGGATCAAACCCCACTTCGTGCATTTTTATTTTTATTAAAATTAGAAGGTTATTCTAAAAATTTTTATTTTTATTTAAAATAATAGAAAATGGATAATACTCATTTTATTGTCAAATGATGTAATAATAAATAATTGATTAACAACAAGAAACAAGAATTGAAACAAGAATAAAAAATAATGAATATAATTGATATATATGAAAGAAATGACATGAGTAGATATAAATTGAAATAAACAAGAAAGTCAAAATAAAAATGAAGAGAATAACCAACTAATTGAATAGTAATATTCAATAGAAAATAATTGTATTATTAATTTAAATAATATTGTTTTCAATGATAAATATCAAATAATAAAATGAAATAACACAAAAAGACTAATAAAAGAATAAATTAAATATTATATAATGAAATGATAATAATACAACATGATTAATTCAATACACTGTCTTTCTATTATTTGTTAAAGGTGTTATTTATTATTCATTTTTATAACATTCTAATAATGAATAAACATATACATTAGTACTACTTGTATAATTATGTATTTCTTTCTTATCATTTTCTTTTATTTCATTATTCTATCAATTCAACATTAATTTTATTTTTTATCTTATTTGAATCATTCTGATTCTTTCTCTTTTTATTTAATTATAAAGAAAATGATGAATAACAAGAAACATAACAAATAATATTAAAACAAATAAACAGAGCAAAAGAAATTCATATCAATAAACAAATATAAATGATAGAAGAATGAGTGAAATATGTATTATCTGTATTGATAGAATTATATGAATCATTATATTATTAATCATTATCATAACTAACACTACATTGATAATATTGTTTATTTCATTCATTTTCATTGTCATAATTATTTTAACAACAATTTTAATAGAAACAAACTGTATTATCACAATAGAAATAAATATCAAAATAAAACACAAAGAAGATACAAACAATATCAAAACATAAATATTAAAAATATAAATAAGTATTAATAACAAAACTTCTAAGAATTTGATTTAATTGTTTTTAATAATCCTCATCATTGTATTAATATTAATGAAATATTTCAGAACATACAAGAATATTAAATGATTAATGAATATTATTAATGATGGGATATGGAATTAAAATTAGCAAAGAAAAAATACATCTAAATAATTTACAAAAATGAAAAAAGAAGCATAATTTATTGCATTATTAGAATATTCAACTCTATTACATTTTAATCCTAAAAAATAAAATAAAAAGTATGATAAATATACAATCTGTAAATATTTATGTTTATCTTTTATATTCATTTATATTTTATATGAAATATTAATGAAATAGTTGATCTGATTGATCATATTTAATTGTTTATATTTTTTTATCATTTATTCTTATTATTCTATTATTTTATTCTTATTATTCTTTTGTTTCTATATTCTATATCATATACTCATATATTCATATCATTTTCATTTATATTTTATTACATATTAGATGTTATAATAATAACATAACACATATTATTGATTATATAATAAACATCATGATGAAGTTATACATATAAATAATAAACATAAAAAAGAGTAAAATATTTTTCATTAATAAAATAATGTTAATTATTTTACATCATTAAATTAGACACTTTTATTGAATATTTCTATTTTTTACAATAAAAATACACAATTATTTCATTTTTCATTTCTTCTT